GCACTCACCTCGGATCCGGGGTGTCACCTGTGGGCGACTGTGTTCGCTATGGATTTTCCGTATCCGCCTCGAGGCGCACTCGTGGCACGCCTTCTCCAGAACGCCCTGATAGCGAGAATCAAAGGCATCATTTCGGTCAATAGATAGGGAGATGGATTAGTCACCGCGAAGTTTATGCGTGTGCGTGGCGTCTCCAGCACGTAGGTAACGCAGGGAGCGTTGGCGCGGTTGACGTTGGAAGGAGGATGTGCATGGTTGCAGTAAGTTTTGTTTTTTTTCGAATCCCTTTATTGTCAGCGAGGGCCGAGCCTTATGTAGACAGTAGGTACGTCGAGTATGTACATAGCAGGGTAGACTACGGGAATCAAAACAAAGTCATCGGACGCTACCTCCCTGGAGGGCGCGCGTCAGGGTGTAGCTGCGGTACTGGGGGAAGCCAAAGTGTCAGCGAGAAAAGGAAAATATGTACAGGTAAGCGGGCAGGACGAGAGCTACCGGGACTAGCGCAGCGGACACAAGCTCCGGCCGTTCAAAGCAAGAGACACAGTTCTCAACTCCCCGCTGTGCAGTAAGCTTGCCGTGCACCATGCGTTGCTAAACTAATATATTTGATCTTCGCCCGCATTTTTATGTGTTTCAATTATAGCGTCACTTGAATTGCATACATAAGCAAAGCCCAACAGTGCTCTGCATCAATGAAAGAGAGTCAGCACAGAAAGGCTTTCTACATCTGTCTTTATGAGAGATCGTACCGGGAAAGGGTCTAGTGTCCAAATTTCGCCTGGTGCCGGATGAGGGCGTCCTGTCTGGAGAAAACACGCCCACAACACTTGCACGTCGTTTCCATCATGCGGAGGTGCACAGTGCGGATGTGTTTGTACAAATTCCCCTTCTTCACTTTTGTCTTGCACTGTCCCCACCGGCACACCAGGCGCTGCCTCGCGTCACGGTCTTCGTTATTCGTGTGATAGTCCGCAGCGTGGTGCTCCTCAAAGTGGCGGCGGATGCTGCTCGCCGAAGGGTCGTCGAGCTGCGCATCGCATCCAGCCCATCCGCAGGTCTTCGTTGCTGGAACATGCTCACCTCGAGATTGCGGGTTCTGCAAGCGATGTGCAGGCTCGAGTGTGTCCACGGCGTGTCCTGAGAGAGAGCTTCCGCAAATACCGGAATGCCCGTGATGATGGGTACTGGCAAGCACGCCTCTGCCCAACATCTCCATCGTGTTAGATGCCGCTGCGACCACATTTTCGGCGTGGGCATCGACGAATCGGTCTAGTGGACCTGTCTGGGGTATGGGCGTGGGACCCTGGCTGGTGGTCATCGACGTTTCACTACCCATCACATGCGTCGTACGGCTTGTGTCGACAACAGGCGGGTAGACCAAGCTTTGAATGGACGCGACCGAGATAACGCCATCAGCCGCGAGTGGCGGGGCATGTATCACGTTGCTGGGTAGGGCGGCAGGGACGAGAGGTGTGCTCCATTCTGAGGCGTAAGGGACGGGTTCCGTCATGTTCGGCTGCGGCGAGTCTGCTCCCCTGCCTACAAGGCACAGAATGGGTACACCGGATGCGACGAGCGTTGTGGCATCCTGGAGTGATACCAAGCGGTAGCCAGGAAATTGGTCCTGAGAAATGTCCACGCTGGGTCGGCTAATGCACGGGAGCACCATGAGACCGCAGATTAGACTGAAAAGTCATAAATATCACACACCTTGAAACATGTACCGAGCGTCTGGCACCAAGGTGTGGCGGATCGAAGGTGTACGGGTGTTCATCATAACTCGCACCGACGTTATCATTCAAACGTGTCATGTTGATGCCAGGTACACCATTGATCTCGTTGAGGAAACTCGGATAGGTGGGAGCACTCTTCTCGTAAAGTCTTTGCTGCCCAGAGAATGAGTGGTTTGAAACAGCGCGAGCAGCACTGCAGAATAAGCGTTAGTGAATGAACCATGCGGTAATAATAGAACTCCAAGAGACGTTGCGAATCATGGTGACCTGAGACAGCGAAGTCGATCGAGTACACGTTGAAAACCGTGCTCCCCCGAGATCCATGCTAGTCGACAGGGAAGCGTATAGGTGCGAATGCAAATACGTACATAGCTCTCCCTGTGGTGTCCCATGGGATGTTCAGGCTGCCTTGCGCAAATAATAACGAATTCAATTCACTGTACAGGACGGTAGCAAGAGTTCGACTCGTCAGTGTTCAATCAGCACACAACAACAATGAAAAGCGTACCCAGGTCGACCCTCCACGTTTCTCCACGAAGTCGTGTTGGTGGTGGCGGATGTATGGGAACACGATGTCATGGCGGGATGCAAGACATCTGAGGCTAAGAGGTGGAGGAAGGTCTTTTATGGGTACAAGGCTTTGTTGCGTTGAATGGATTGAGGCTTTATAGGCAACGAGCATGACGTAGACATTCGGTGCCTGTCAAGAGGTGGGCCGCTGGTGGCCACAAGTGGGTTTATGGCTAGGCCAGGGTGTGAGATCCGGGCGAACTTGATCATTCCTGACTTCCTGACTTCAAAGTGGCCGGAGAGCAGCCAAGCAGATTGAGCAGCCGAGCAGATTTGATCAGCCGAGCAGATTTGATCAGCTGAGCAGATTTGATCAGCCGAGCAGATTTGAGCAGATTTTTAAGGACCCCCGGATCCCCGGCCGAGGTTAAACGCGCTTGTAGACTTGTATTCACGGATTGTGGTATGTCGTATCATTTAATTACATGCGCGCCAGATACTGTTCACAGACGCCCCGTCACACATCTGCCTGTGGTTCAACGTTTCATACGGTAAGCTGCTCGCCTGGGACACAGAGGTCGGGACAGCCAGTCTCACAGTGAATTAGCCGGAGACGAAGCAGCGAAAACGCCGGCTCGTTCGCTCACCCTGCGTAAATACCTACGGGCAGGGCGAATCAGAAGCGGTCTGCACTGATTGCATCAATCAGCCTGGTCTTCAAAGTTCGAGCCGTTGGAAGCTTTAGTATACTGCGCACCCTAGTAAACCACATCCAACACCAAGTTCAAGTTCAAGTCATGCGCAACAAGCTGATGCCATTCGTCTGGGTTACTATCCCTAGCGAGTCAGCGAAGGCGGCCAGACAGCTTGTCAAAGACCGATTGCAAGCACCGCCTCGTAATCAAACGCTTCACCAAAAAAACAAAAGAACAAAAAAAAAAGCTGATGCCATCTCGGCAGGTGCCGACGTCGTCCCAGCCCGACGAGCACGCGGGGAGCGCCGCAGATCAGCCCCCTACACAGCCCCTCGGGGGACGAGC